ACAACAACAACAAAACCATGGTACATGATAGAGAGCGGGTGGTCATGGGGCCTGGGTTTTGGTTTTCCCCAAATTTTAGGTAAATGCTTCAGTGGCAGCCCCTCTCCATATAAACACACATATCTATTCTTGCTCTCACTCTACACGAACAAATATATTATGCTTTCCTGAGTCAGGGTAATTTTATTGTTTTGGAAGCAGCAATCAATCATTCAGATGGTTTTGAACAAGATAATTAGAAAAGAAGCAGGCCATAAAAGTGGTCGTTTTAACAATTGTCCTCTAGATCTCTGCTTATAATTATATTTAGATTTGGAAAGATTGTATATAGACGCTTTTATGTTATAAAAGATTCTCTGTAGATCTCTGCAGATAATCATGTTTAGATTTAAACAACTATATAGAAACCTTGTATGTTAAAAGCTTTCTTCTAGATTTCTGCGGGCAAGAGCTTGCATTTTCAAAGCTTTCCTCAGGATCTCTGGCAAAGTAGATATCCCACATAAATATATATATATGTATATATGTGTTTTCATGAAAGGAAAGCTCTTGAAAGAAAGACTTATTTATTGATATATAGCATGCTTAAATTGACATGACCATTTCCAGAGATCCAGGGGAAAGCTTTTGAAATGAAAGTTTATATGTAGTTTTATTGTAATAATGATGATCCCCAGAGATCTAGAGGGAAGCTCTTGAATTAGAAGCTTGTACATACAACGTGTTTAATATGTATATATTATCTCCAGTGATTACTGACAATAAATAAATCTAACTATTTACTTCAAAAAAGAGGTTTAGTCTTGTTCCCAACACTTCCAGGGCAAAAAATACTGTAAAACACGGGGTTTTGTAGCATGTGTTTTCTTAAACTAAATAGGCTAGAGCTAGAATAGAATTAGGTAGAATTAAATTGGATTTGAGTTAGAGCTAAGATAGAACTGAATCAAAACCGAATTTTAACTAAACTTGTATTGAACTATAACTATAGCCTAATTGAAATTGGATGAGAGTTAAATTAGAAAGGAATTGAAATTAAAATTAGAAGTTCGCCAGAATAAGATGTAAACGCTTGAGCTACAAGCGCAGAAGTACGCTCGCAAAGATTTCCAACCGTTTCATGTAAAGGACAGAGTGTCCTCGCAACTGCATGTCAAGCTGTTTGGAAATGCAAGTGGCAACCGCATTGATACCAGTCAGCAGTTAATGCACTCAGACTTGTATATGGAGATTTGGACAAGGACAAAGGAAGTGTTGAGCTCAGACGGCTTCAGATGTAAGCAAAAAGAACAGATGCCTTGAGGTGAGAAGTAAGCTCAGATGCTAAACCAAAAAACCTTGAGAAAACAAAAAAACAAAAAAAACATTCTGAGAGACTCTTGCTTGGACCCCCCAAAATCAGAAGAATCAGAAAACCAAAAAAAACTTGGGAAGACCAAAAAAACCTTAAAAACCAAAAAAACAATTCTGGGGAAGTCTTGAGGACAAGGGGGTCCAGCCAAGAGTCTCTGAGAATTGGTTTTTTAGGTTTTGTTGGTTTTCCCAAGTTTTTTTTTTGGTTTTTTGGTTTTTCTGATTTTGGGGGGTCCAGCCAAAAGTCTCCCAGAATTGTTCTTTTTTGTTTTTTGTTTTCTTAAGGTTTTTTATTTTTTTTGGTTTTTATCCTTTATGCATATTTATCAGTGTTTTTTGGTTTTGATTGTGGCACTGATGCATTTTGGAAAACCAAAACCCAGGCCCCATGGCCACCCCTTCTGACATGATAATACATTAATTACTATGAGAGAGAGCGAGAGAGAGAGTCCAGGTGTCGAGAGAGTCCGTTCTGTCCAAAAGCAGAGGGCCTGACTGAGTCGACTTGAGGGTCAGACTTTGTGTTTCTGCTTCGTCGGCCGCACCGGCCGCACCTCGTGTTTCAGTCGACCGAAAGCCAGTGTTTCGTGTCGTGACGGTGTTTTCAAGCAACTTCACGACACGAAAAGCCACTTTCACTTCACCACGCCGGCGCAGAATTTCAGAACACATCAAGAGGGTGGTGAGGGTCGATGCATTGCAGATCTGCAGATCTATTGTGGCGAACTTGGGGTGTGAGATCTATGGCCAGACTGGCTTTCCACCACACGTTAGACGAATGAAAGCACGCAGTTGAACCCTAACAAAGCATGCCACAGCATGGATGTCCCATGGAACCCCATCCTTCTGGTGCCGAGGACAATTCATGAACATGCAACATGCCATCCTCCCAAAACCAGACATCGCCCCGCGTCACTGGAGATTCCAACCACATCCAACAATCATTATATGTTGTAAGAATGGTTTTTACCAAGCGACCATGGATTGTTTTAAGGATTTTCCACTGCAGAAGGCTTTGATGAACCATTTTTGTGATGATCGAACAGAAGGCTTTGGACCGTTGGGCAGCCATGTGTTTTGCACGTCCTGCATCCACCAGACCGTGCGATTTGTGGAAAACTGGGAGACCTTGAACCCATCAAAATGAACCGAATGGATGGTCTACCTGCACCAGGGAATGGTCGGGAATGGTCTGTCCGTTTCTGTCCCATTTCAGGAGATGTTCCAGTGCATCGAACGCTCCGAGAGTCGCAAAGACTCCGGCGGCGGCGGGGGCACCACCACCTACTACTACTACGAGCGCCGCTCGCTTCGGCCGTTCCGCGTCGACCGTGCGGGTCGCTGCCGGACGAGGTGGACGGTCCGGGGGTCGCCACGCGAGTCGCTGCCTTTGGCTGTGCATTTCCGAATGGTAAATATGGAGTGTTTGGGTTTGATCTCCGGGACCCCCGCGTGCGAAAGCTGAAGAGGAGGGGCAACCTTTCTGTGGCCTTCCCCGAAGCGTTTGGAGGTCCGTTCACGCCGACGCTCGGTCGGGTTGGTGAGAGACCTCCGAGGGTCGCTACCGCAACCCGGGGGAGGCTGAGGGGATGGTGCCGAAACGTGTTCGCACCGAGGGTTGGGCTCGCGCGGTTCTGTTTTATGTCTTCTTATAGGTCGTTGTAGGCCAGATCCATTCCGCTCGGTCGCCATTCTTTGTCACGTGATCGCTAGCATAGAACGGGTCGTAGAACGAAACATGCGCACCGGTCGAAACGTGAGTCGTTTCAATCCGGGTTTGTCTAGTCATTTGCCTAAACCTAAGTGATCAAGAGCAGCCAGGGCCGGCCGAGTTTGCGAACAGTTTGCTCCTCTCACACCCGCGATCTCAAGTCATAGACTTAGAAGTGAATGCTGCCGCAGTTCTTAACTTGTACCGTACTTGTACCTGGATCCTGCAGGCGTAGTAAGGTGCCGGATCCTTGCCTTCAACTGCCTTCCCCCGAGGCCAGTGGCGATCCACTTGGGTGGCATCTTGGAACCGAAAGGGGGCTCCGCTCCGAAGCCGCCGACCGGCACCGGCGTCACAAGCTTCCTTTCATCCACCACCCGCTGGGCTGGGCCACTTGGGGGTGGTGAAATGTGTTGCTGGTGTTGTTTCTTTCAGTGTGTACACTCCTTGTCTCAGAAGGAAGAGCAAGACCAGGGGTGGAAGGCCTAACTGGAATCTTTCAATCAAGTTCCAACAGAGGTTGAAGAACCCTATAGACTATCCCAGTTCGGTACCCCAGTAAGGCCCTAGTTCAGGTCACTTAACCTCTCTTGGTTGTATGAGATTACTTACTTGCACGCACCAGGACCTTCCCAGTGACCGAACTTGAGATGCGGCGGGTCGGTCACAACTCCCAGGCCTTGATTTCAGGTCACTTACCAATCCTGAAGACACTGGTCACTGGGAGGGTCCTGGCATGTGTGTTGTAATCTTTTTCATGACATGGACGGAATGATGCTGTTGAGTTGGGGTTGCTAGAGTTCTTCGATTCGCTGTGCAGAGGACTCAAACAAAGCATTCGTCAAGTCTTTGGCAATAGTACAAACTGCAACCTGTTGGGTCCCACACCAGATCGACTGCAACATGAGAGCTATTTCCGCCAAAACCATTCTAAATCAGAGGTTGCATAAATTCCATTCGAAGTCAACAGCCATGAGCTTTCTGGCCAAACCTGGCTGAAGCGCCCTTAACACTTAGCACTTCTCCATCAGACTCCCATGTGTGGGGATTTTGTGGGAATAGAATGGAACAGCCCCGGTCATTTCAGGGGATTATTGGATTTTATCAGATACACAGTCATAGGGGGTGTAGTAGCACCACCCTTGGGGTGGTGGTGAGACTCCTCTAAGGGGGCACTTCCATTCCATTTGGTCACAGCCGTGGCTGGACCTCTGCTTCCTCTTGCAAGGATCCGATGCGCTTTCACGACCGCAGCAAAGCCGACAACGATTGTCAGGGCTTGCAGCCCGGCGCTGATCAGCGGTCCATAGCCATCTTCAAAAACTGGTCATGTCCTTTTTGGTCACTCAAATCACAGATGGCCCAACCTACGGCCCTGCTTGGTTGATGAATAGAGAGGACACCCCCAAGTCTATCTTGCTTCTGGGCGGGCGCTGGTCAGTCCACCCGGTCCGCGGTGGCTCCCGGACACGACGTGTTTGGGACAGCCAGGTCGGACTGTCGAGTTTCACGGCCAGGGGTGGTTGACTTGGGGTCTGTCTGGGGCGGCAGTCCCATGGAGTGTTTGGGAATAGTAAAACACGGCATCAAGATCTGGTCTCAACTATGTCGACAGCTTTGCCTAGCACAACAGCTTTGCAGCAGCCAGCGGTCACAACACAGCATGAATGCCTATTCCAAGACCATGACTCGATTCATCTCCTTCATTTCCGCACATATTTTCCCTCTCCTGAAAATTCGTCCATCACCCTTGCAACAGGCGCAACAAACAGATCGACGACAAGGAGCTTTCCCGCAAACAACAACAGTTCCCCAGCAGGAACTGCGCATCCTTCCTCTTCAAATCTAGTAAATCTAGTATCCTTCACCCATCCTTCACCCAGTCACCCAGACTGTTCTCCGAAGCGAACTCCCCTCCTTTCTTGTGGGCCCTCCCATGGCGGAAGCGCCCTGGCGTCACCTGGCCGCGGCCACGATCACCTCTGCACTGCTGGGCTTCAGCTGCGGTGCCTGGTGGGCGAATCGACGGGCGCGGCGAAAGGCGGAGGGTGCGGGGTGCAGGGCAGTTGGGTGGGGTGTTTTGGGGGGAGTGAGTGGGTTCTTGAAGGGTTTATGAAGGTCTTGAATTGGGTTGAAGGGATCCATGCTGGGATCCTCTTTTTGGGAGACAAGAACGATGGGGATCGTTCAAATGAACCTGTAAGATCAGATGGGTTGAAGAAAGTCCATAAATATGCAGTAGTTGGTTAAGATACATCTCCTGGAAGAAGCATCATGAAGTCTCATCATAGATACCGCGGCAAGTCGACTTGCTTGCAAGTCGACTTGTTTTTTGGCAGCGTGGAAGCGAGGTAAGTGGAAGCGAGAGGTGGTGGAGGTTGGGCAAATCCTGGGTACCTAGTCTCCTGGCACACCATGGGTATCAACACATGTGCAACAAGTTTGAACTCTATTGATTCAGGTCTTTCCCTGATACATCCTTATGGCCTGTAGATGTGTCCCACTGTTTGATACATGTCAAGACATGGCAAGATCTTACGACAAACCGTTACGCCGTGCGCAGAACCATTCCTATCCATGTAGGAACCATGGTGACCTCAAGTGATTACTGTTTGCACTTGGCTTCGCCAGGAGAAAGCCAGAAAGCGATTGATGCAAATGGCCAAGGTGGGGCGGTTGTTGTCGGCGGTTGTTGTCGGTTTCAGACGAAAAAGAACCATCGAGGATGCCATTTTGGTCACCCTCACGTGTTGGAGCAGTTCCTCCACTAGTGGTTGATCATCCACCACTTCGGTTGGAAAAGACCGGGCAGTTCTTTCGTCGGGGCCAACTCTTTGGAGGCGGCCAACTCTTGGAACTCTGGATATGAAGGCTGGAAGTTCGTTCTCACATGGACTAGTGGCCGTCTGCGGTACCAGAGCAGCATCGCCACCAAGCATTTGTTCATCAAAGCCGCATAAGAGGGTCTAGCTCCTCGTTGCCTAGAACCGCACAACCTGGGGGGCCGCCACCAAGCTTTACAAGAATGTTCCTGCCCGGGCCAGTGTGCACATTGCTTTTCCTCGAGGAATCCTTTTTTTGATCGTGAGAAGCTTTTTCGGTTCGCCGATGTGCAAGTTGATGACATCCTCACCAAAGAAGCATCAAAGTAGCCTTCATTGGTCAAACGAAACAGGTGTCAAGCAAACACCACAATGATTGAATCTAGAAGACATGAGTCTATGCAGCCGACTAGTTCGACTTTGCTTTGTGAATCTGTAAGGACAAGCACAAAAAAAGGGTTGCGGCTGCTTGAAACCTATAATTTGTGCTTCTCATTATCCAACGGTGTGGTCTGTGTGAGGTCCACATCCCCATTCCTAGGACGAGAGTTTTTGCGGGATTTGGCGCTCTCAAGGAGTCTTCGGCGTCCACTACCAGAATGGTTTACGATGTCCATGTGGGTGGTTTGTTCATCAACCGTCTACGTCTACGCCGCTGAGCTGTTTCCTAGGGGCATGTCCCCCTCAACAGCTCATTCAGGTGCGCCCGGACCGAGTGGCTCTCTACAAGCGGCACCACCAGGTTGGACGATTCCCGGGAGTTGGAGAAGGAGAAGAGCAACCCTTCTGGAGAAGAGAACACAGAATGACCCATCCCACACCCAGCATGCTAATGTCATCAGTGAAAAAGACACTATCGTTTGGTGGAGGCCATCACTATTAGGTTGGAGGCCATCGCTCTTAGGTTGGAGGCCAATTAGTAGGTTGGAAGCCATTGGACCCAGAGCGACGTGTCATCGGCTTGTTGACATGCGCCTCGGCTGGGGGGGTGGCCTGCGACAGTCTTTTAACGACCCAGAATGGGTCCAAAACGCCACCTAGAACCAAAGGCTACTTGTATCGTGATCCCCAAATAGATAGGAACGGTTTCCACCTCTTTTTGTAGATATCTTTGTTCTATCATGTTCTATCTACTCTTCTATCTATTTGGGGGGGAGTCAGTCTATACATTCTTTGTCTACGGAAAAGCGTCCAAAGGCTATGGATTTCCCAGTGAAATTCAGGATCCAGACTGGCATCATCCAGACTGAAAAATACTTTCGGGTTCCGACAATGTGTCCAAACACGTCCAAAACACAGATTGGGTACTCAACGGTGCACGTGTTTGCAGTGAGCTGTGTTGTTTGTTTTGCAAATGCAGGGCGTTTGGCCGGAAGTGGAGAAGGGCCTTGCAAAAGTCGGGGTGGAGACGATCTCCATTTGGTCAGATCCCAGCGATGACTGTGCCTTGTACATGTGCTTTGGCCAAGAAGGTTTCCGTGTGAATCAAGACAGCATGGTGGAAACCTGCGTGGAGTTCGTGTGTGGATCCTAGCAGGGTGGGTTTGTTCTGGGTGACCGAGCACCTCACTTTGTGGGCAAAGGATGAACTATTTGTGAATGTGTAATATGTTTGGATTTGTCGAAAGATGTGGTTTCCTTGACTTGTCATATCCCTCCACATTTCAGGCAGGCCCCCCAAACAACCACTTGACATACTAGTCTTGATTCTGCATCCATCACTGCCAACACTACCATCACTACCTTTGATTGTTCACATGATATCACCAATCCTGGCTTCGAACTTCCCCACACAGACTCACGTCTTCCGCGAGCTCTTCCGAGGTATTTGGAGATGGCCGAGGATGCTGGCGACATGGCCGAAGGTTCTCAGTACCGAGATGATCCGCGCGTGCGAGTGCCTGGTCCTGAAAACGGCACGGGGGGACGCGTTCGGTGGCCGCGTTCGGTTCGGTCGCCCCGTGACATAAGGAGTTGGTGTGTTTTTGTGTTCGGAAGAGGGTGAACATCTCGTTGATGTTCCCAAGACTTTGGGAGGGTTGGTGTGTCAGTTCCCCGCAGCAGGTCTTAAAGTCTGGCATGGATCAAAAAGTGGATGAGTTTCCAACATACTTGATGACTCCCAAATGACTCGTATGTTTCAGTTGGGTATAGAAGATATAGAAGCTCGCCACCAGCACTGGCTGTTTTCTTTTCTGAATCGCCTGTTGATGTGCTATATAGTTGTAATTTCAGCTGAGCTCCTGTTGAACATGTCCAGTGGTATTCACAGGGGAGTGGCTGTCCGTCCGCCAAGAGAGTTGCGCATCGAGCATGGTCCGCCAAGAGAATGGAAGATCTATCTAGCTGAGACCTCCCACCGATCGAATTGGCACTAGTGGGTCCCACTATGTTGATAGGTGCAACCTGCTAACAGCTGATATATGGCCATGTAAAACGGACAAAATCAACCAACATCAGTTTTCCTTTTCACACCGGATGGTCGGAAGAGTATGGTCGACCTTTCTGCCGCAGTCCTCCCTTTGGAATGGATATATGGATGCCAGATATTTTCCACGTTGGGCTCTTGGCCCCTCAAAGCACGGAAAAGCATGTCCCAACGGGAAGTCGCAAGGGTCAGTCGCTCATGCTGTTCCGACCATGTGCCATGTGTTTTCAGAAGCTCAGACGCGCAAACAGTGTTCGTTCTCAGGGTGTAAACCAAAGGATCAGACGTCGTATCAGACGTGCCTGCTATCATGAAACCTGTGCACCCCAGTCTCATCACATTCCAAGTTCACTGGTGTGAGACTGGTGCCAAAAGGTGTGGGTGTGGACATCACCGAGCAAAACTCCCAAGGTCATATGTTCATTGTGATGCATTGATGTTCTATTGTTTTCGAACACAGTAAATCAGAGCAATCCACACGTCATTGATGTTAAAACCATCCATCAGGCCCTATCACCCGTCCGCTGAGCCCTGGATGTCTCACCTTAAGGAATGGGAACGAGCCATGGAGACTGAGTTCCATGCAGGCAGGGCGGTTCGTTGGCTGGCGCCATTTTCTATTTTTGCCCAAGTTGGGTGTTGGTGTGTGAATGGGAAACGAAGTATCCTAGTATGTTGGTATGTTGGTGGTTGTTTTTTTTGCCCAAGTTTATAGCCTCACGCACACAAAGTATGCCTAGTGATCTTGATACTCTTTTGATTGATCCCTTGTCGCCATGTAGCCAGGGTGAGAGCACTGTGACCAACGGACTCTTGCTGAAGATCAGGCTCACACAGTTGTGTGTTAAGCCTCATCTGCGTCAGCGACCATCCCGAAACTCCGGTCACTTGTCATCACTTGTCATCACTACCCAGACACTCCATGTATGGAATATATACCTACATTGACCCCCAAAACCACCCCGCAACTGATCGGCATATATGGCAGTCCCAGACAGGTCGCGTTTGGGATCTAAGTGCGGCTCATTTGAAGCCGGATCTGGTCATCGGCTCATCGGATCTGCCATATGAACTGCCATCAGAATCTCACCGAGGTCAGTAGTCATGGGTCGTTGTCACCCGAAAATCGTAAAACGGGTCGATCGCATTGACCAGCACCGACTTCACAGGTCACCATTTGAAACCTGGGCGTTAGGGCCTTTCCCAACCCTCCATTTCGGAGACCTGTTGGAAGGTGCTGGGAGAGGTTGCGTTGCTTGGGTTGGAGGCTATCGCTACTGTAGAAACAAAGAAAAGTCTCGGTTTGTGCTTGTACTCCTTCGTTGGTACTCCGTCTTTGCTTTTGTCACATGATGAACTTCTGAAATTCACCCAGCCTCGCGCGCGGTGTCTGTTCGGCGGAAAAAAGTGGACAAAAAACAAAATTCGTTTCGTCTCCTCGGGCGCCACGCGGAGAGTTTCAGGCTGGAAGCCTTTGAGTGAGTGGTATACCTTGAAATGCAGCGGCTCCAAGACAGTGGAAGTCTCCACCAACTCACTGCCACCCTGTCACTCGTCAACGGTTGAAACGGTCAAGTTGCACTGCCGCTGGCACCTCGGTGAACGGTGCATCGCCACCGGTGTTCGGGGCGTGTCCGTCGTGCGGATCGATGGGGAAGAAACGTGCATGGTCCGGTCGGTGTGGCTCGGTGTAGCCACAACACATGGACAAACTGGAGCATGGTTGCTAAGATCTTCAAAAAAGACCCAGTGATGTGATCACATTGCTTCATTGACATTTGCTTCTTTGGGTGCAGCCATATTGTATATGGTTGTTGACCTCCCTCATTTTTTCATCACCCGTTCCCTTTCCACGTCCACGTCGGCCCGGGCCGGGCGCCCGAGTTTAGAATCGGTGGATCTATTTGGGAGGAGAAATTCCAGCCGAAACCTTGGGCGAGCATGGGCGGTTTTTGGTACGGCCTACGGTGAGTTTCTGGTGACAATGCTCGTTCCGCAAATCAGAAGATGAATGAGAAACAACTTTGTATTGCACTCCTGGTTTGAGGTCTCTTCATGGCATGGAAAGGGTCTCTTGAGGGCTCCAGAAAGGTCACTTGGAAAAAGCTGGATATATCACAGAATAGTGTATACATTTTTAGTTACTGTATTTATAATATTTATAGAATATTATGTAGTATTGGTATCATAATGGTGGACTGAGACGGCTTCTTGGATGGTCCGGTTCCATTTCACCTCTCTAATATGGCCAGCAGTTGTGACCCAAGGATATTTAATCTGTGACAAGGGAGGGTTGCTGGGAACGTCGTCCCCATCTTCGTCGTCGTCGTCGTGAGTTTTCGCGGGATGAGTGGGGGCCCGCCGAACAAGGCTACAACGTCATCGACGGGAAGTGAGGCTTCGCCCTTTGGGAACGTCGCAGGCGAGCTCGGCCGAGGGGCTGGAGAGATGCCGCGATCTTCGCGGCCGCAAAAAGGAGCAGCGCATGAAAACACCGGAGCTGTGGCCGGTGCGAGCCGGCGCGGTCGATGGGATGGATGGGTGGGCACCGGGGGTGGATTTAAAGCATAGAGGAAGGTGATCCGCTGTCTGAATTGTCTGAAGGAAAAGCGCGGATCGAGTCATCTGTGGTGGACTCGATTCGACACATTCGGGTGACGAACTCAACGCGTCCTTGGAAAAGAGTTCGGGTGTCGTTGGTGTAGTTCGGGAGCGACACGAGTGCCATCATGGAAGTATCCTCGCACGCGTAAGGATGAACTACACCCTGGGGTCGACGATCCCGACCCTGAAAAGCACCACTGCCTGGTAGAGGAAAACAATCGCAGGGGCCCAGGACGTCAGGGTCCACATTAGTTTTCGGGAGTGTATTTGTCATACCAGGAACCTCCTGGCCAGGCTGTTTGGAGACCCTAACAGGTGGTTTCTGGATACCTGTTGTCACCAGGAAACACCTGTTGGAGGATGCTGGTAGTTTTCTCATTCTTTATTTTTTCAGAGGTTGGGACATTTCGCAATCTTCAACACAAATCCGACCTGTCCACAGTCCTTCGAAAGATGGTCAGCGTTCAGAACACCAAGATCTGACCTTTTGACCATAGAACAGTATGTCAAATGCAGGAATAGAAATTCGATGAAGCAAGTGTCTTAGATGTTCTTAAAGACTTTGTTCAGAGGTGCGGACCACTCCACCCCCTTCAACCCACGCCCAAAACCACGCCAGTGTTTTCTACCCCCTTTCCACTGTGTGAAACAGAGGCATCACAACCCAACGCTCCGTTCAGACAAGGCATCCCGCCTGGCCCACAGCCGTCGCCCGGCTGAAAGGGTCCAATCGAACCTGGGATGAGCTGCCGCGGTGGACACACGAGACCCGTCTCGACCAAGTTCTGTTTTGGCTGCCGCGGTGTTCAAGGAATTCAAGTGAGCTGATCATCACCAGCTTTGGCGGCACCTTTCAATGATGATACCATTAAAAAACAACAAACAACACAATTCTGCTCAAGTGTCGGATTGCTTCCAAGGGTCATGGAAGATCAGAAGATGACTTAGTACTTCCCAGAAGAAAACTTCGGAAGAGATGGCACCTTTGGTCAGTTTCGAGCTCGAATTTCCATATGATACTATCATGCTTCCGGGATTTGGTAGGCCTGTCAAAATTTCACACGAGGGCGGATCCAATCCTGCCCCCCCCAGAAAAAAATTACGCTTATAAACTTATAAAGTATATCTTGTGTTCATCCATTCCGAAATCGATTGGGTTTACTCCGCATATGAGTGGAAAAAAACATGAACTTCTCAATATATATATATATATATACGATATTGTTGATTTTCCATGTGGTGTTTGCCCAAAAACACGGACCTGAGACATGAGACATGGCCCAGCGTTCTTTTTAGTCAAGATTTGGATGGCTGGCATAAGGCTCAACCAGAGATCAGCACAATAAGATGTTGGGACTTGCAAAGTTCATGAACGTGTATCTTTTTGGAACGTGTATCCAAAAAATAAGATCATGTTGGGAACGTGTATTTTTTTGATGCCGTTTTCAAGATGAATGTCTCTTGACACCAGACAACCACCGGCGGGAACACGGCATCCGCCACTGAGGTGCCCCCCACCGGGACCTACTATTCTCCCACGGTCTATGCGGAAGCCTGGACGCTGAATGCGCCACTTGGAAGCTCAGACGGCGCGCTGAGCGTCGGACGGCTCAGAGGTACCGAACTTGGACGACTCAGAGGATCTTCCGAATGAGAGGTCGCGTGTCCCCTTGCGGCGTCCCCTCGCGAGCGAGTTCCGTCCTCACCCAAATGGTGGCTTCCGTGTGGACGGGGAGATCCGGGTTCCATTTGGGGGGATCCGTTTTTGGGGGGGTTCAATATTGGATCAAGCGCCGGAGTTCGTGTGTCGACAGGTTGAAGTTCCCTTGGTCTGTCATCCGGATGTCCAGTGCCCAAAGGCATTGTTTCAAGTGTGCCATGTCCGCAGCGCAAGCAACTTGCGACATGTGGAAATCGAGATGATTGATATAAAGGATTACCCAAAGGATCAAAGGCAAGGGCCCAAAATTCTGGGGCAGAAGATGTGGTAGAAAGAGCTTTGTGACCACCGGTGCTTGGGGGCCTCGGCATCGCAATGCATCGCATCGACGACGCCGCAACTGGCATCACCTGGTGCATCAGATGCCATTGTTGCACCAATCGGCTGCCTATCACAGCACTTTGGAGAGCCATTTTGGAGAGCCTTTTGGAGAGCATGGAATCCAGATCCAATGTGACCCACCAAAATACACGACTGTGCGCTGTCAAGTTCGAACTGTGTGCCGTACTGTTTGAATGCCATTTGCCCCAACGCCGAGATGGTGAAACATGTTCCTGGGTAGAACGAGTCCAAAGATGTCCCACCAGCTTCAAGTGCGGTTGAAGGGTCCAGATTCAGCTCCTCCAAAATCTAACGGCCCCAAAGTCTACAGTTCCAGTAGCAGCGTCAAGAACCTTTGGGTGTTTCTCCAAAAGGATTCAGATCTAAACCCTCCCAGATCTAGACTCCATTTCGAGGTTCCGTGCACTACGCACGTGCTACGAAAGTCAGTCCCCGGGCCAGTCTCCCAATCTCAGTTCGTGACAGCCGACTCAAACAGATCCACAAAGGCGGTGGTCGAGCTCTTGTTCGAAAGTCAGGGACGTGACCCGAAGGAAACCGATAGCGGATCGTCCAAGCATCCAAGCAGGTACGCCGGTGAGCGTCCTCACCCAGTCATCAGTGTTGAATGCAAGCCTCTTTGTTGGGTTGGTTGCATGAACCTTTAAGATTAGGGCTCCCTATGACGCCAAGGGCTACACACATCATCACATGTCTCCAACACTCTATGACCCACCCCAATAAGAGGTGACCAGACCCATCATTATGGCGCCCCTCATAGGGCCTTGTCCACATCCGTCGCACCGTTGTTCAGCCAAGGGCCTTGATACGGAAAATCCCTTTGGACACCCGTATCTCGGGGAACGCGCCTTCGGGTTGGACCACCACGGAGGGGCCGCTCGGCCGGGACGGTGGGACGGTAACGCGGTGTGTTGGCGGCTTTCATGGCGGCACGAGACCTTCAAGGAGGGGCGGTGTTTCGCATGTGGATGTGTGTTTTCATGCGTCAACTCGTGTTCCCAAAGATTTAGACCACACCACGATGTTCATTCCCAAGAGTCTTTTATTAATTCACCAACTCAAATGTACAGAGCAGGGGGCCAGCGCATGACATCACGACGCTGGCCAACGAAGCTAGTGATGTCACGGGAAGCGATCAGAGACGTCTGATCGTGTACCTGCACCAACTTTTCAATTTCTCTCTGGTTGAACTGTTGATCACATTGTAACCCTCATTTATGTAAAGCGCTAATGCAGTAAAGGGCTAATGCGTTGTGTTGCAAACAATACAAGTGAGCTGACCCTCCACCTTGCGGTTCCTGCGAGCCAAGGTCTAATGTAATCAGTAACTATAGCTCTCCGGGATGTCGCAACTGATACAGCTCTTGCGAGCCAAGATCTAAACTGTGTGCGTGTGTTCTTTCTTTTGGTTTTTGCATGTGTTTTAATTCGGGTCTTTCAGAATCTTTCAGGGTCACAGCCTTTCATGTCCCGAAGTCCACTCAAGTGTCCTGTCCGAAAGTCACATAGAACCAGACATGGAGAAAATACGGGTGCATAATTTGATATGGAAACCCCCAACCGGTTTTCGTTTGTTTCCCTACTGGGAGGCCTCCTTTAATTAATGCATCTTCCAGGTGCTGGCATACGGGACTCCATGCGTGCATTTTTTACTTTGACGGGAGCTCAGTTCTGAAAGCTCAGTTCGTCTTAGCTCTCAAAAGCGGACGGTGAAGCCCAGCATCTTGCGAAAATGTACAAGAAAGTTCCCATTCAATCTCTGCATCTCTTAGATTTGCAGAGATTGCCAGCTGCCAATCCACCATGGTCGTCATATACCTTGGAGGAATCACAAAGGTTTAGACTAGATTGACTAGATCCGGTCCGTTCTGCTCCGGTTTCGATGCGAGGGCTCCAAGCCTTCCAAGTTGGTCGACCGGTCGACCCACTAAGTGATCGAAGTGATCCTTCAGTGCTATTTAGATCGAGTTCCCTTTTCTCCATCGTGTCAAAAGAAGAAACAAAAGAAAAAACATAACTTAATGATGTTACATCATTTAATGCTTGGAGTTGTTTCGCTTGGCCCACCGAAACATCTACACATCAACTTTTCGCGGGTGATCTACCTCCAGCCAAAGGTGGAAACTGAACTATTGGTTCTTTTTGCAGAAGCATATCGAAGAATCATTTTATAGGTCTATAAAACAAGCGAAGAAAAACAACTGTCGGGATTTAAATGACATGGTGTCCACACCCTGTTCTTGCAGCGCAGCGATGCTTTGCTTCTGTGTTCTCGCGCCGCTGCTTGGTATCTCCTAAGGAGTACCTATGAGACTAATCAATATGGCCTGGTGGGTGGTTTGGGGAACATGAAGGTGAAGTTCTACGGCACTGACTGGTCCAATCCGCTCCTCGGCGTTTTCTCAACGAGGGTTCGGGGGGTTCGGGGGAAGAAAAGATGGTCCGATCAGGACATTAGGATGCTGAGAAGGAAGGGCATGGAAGGGGCGGCTTCACCAATTTTTGATGGTTTTTGTGTTTGTTTTGTTTTAAGTGGATGGTTTTTTGAGCGAAAAGCAAGCTGTGTGCACGTCCTTCCGAAATCGGAGCTGAGAAGAACGTGTTCTTTTGGAGCTGAGCTGGAGCTTTTCACGTCCCCTGTCATAGAAAAATAAGAGACCCCACTAGACCTGGGAAGACACCCACATGGAACCAGATGGCATGGACCAGACTGGAAGATGATTTTCACTC